GCAATGAATAGGCCGGATATGCAAGCTTGAGTGTTACTGATTCTCCGTGGCCACCTTGCTGGTTTAGGGTCTGCTTTTCGAGCAGTGGTAAAAGGGCTCTGTCAGCAACATCAGAATCCTATTAATAAATGAAAATACCCAGGGCTGTGCAGTGATGCTTTGTAGGTGAGATAAATCCCTAATGGATTTGACTGGTAGGGGCAGAAGAGAAAACAGCTCACTTTCTGCGTGTTTTCCCAAAGATGAAACAGTAGCCAGAGGAGATGAGAGGAAAGGTGCTTCACATGTGGACTCTTGAATACAGAGAGGAAATCAAGCCTGGTTCTGAGCTGAGTGTGGGTAAACCTATTTTGAATTAAACGACTTTTTTTTTCCTCCCTCATTTTAAAGTATCCTCAGGGAATAATCAGCTGTCCAATTACTGGTACACTGTAATATAAAATACTGTTAATTTGGATGATGCTTTTTGTTTAGACTAGGATGTCTTTGCTTTTTGGTCAAATAGAATAATTAAGCCTGGGAAAAATAATACACACAGGTTTCATGTTTGGATTACCACTGTCTCCCGTGTCATCCTTGCTTCATTGAGAATGTGAGTCTTAGTTGGAGCGAACCACAATAACCCCCACCAGGCCTGCCCCCTGTCCTGGTTTCCGTGCTTGCCAGTATGTTTAGCAGACAGGTCTAGTCTGTCTCACATCCCATTCAGCTCTCATACATGTCAATGGGCATTGAAGCTAAGTTCAATCCAATCAGCCCCACTGTCCAGCCCACACACACACACTGGTGAGTGCCATTCCGTCCAGCCATGCCTGCCCCAGTCTTGGTTTTCATGCTCTCCAGTGGGAGTGGTAACCCAAGAGGAAGGTACCCACTATTTGCCTACTGGGCCCATTCTCACTCCCAGATTTTGTACTCTCCAGGTGGTTCCGCAGTTTAACTAGACAGAATTAGCCACCACTGCCAACATTTGCCAGCTGATGCTGCAGCAAAGCCCCACCAACCCAAACCAGTATCCAGTCCCAGTCATAATTGTGCACTGGTATATGTTTCGATCAAACCTGTCCTAATGCACACTCTATTCTGGTGCTCGGATTTGCCAGTGGGTGATGTGAACTGGTTCAGCCTGGTTCGTCCTCAACCTGTGCCAAATATATGCCAGTGGGAAGCTGGGTGGTGCTTCTCCCTTTATCTCCCCCTAACCCCAGATGCAGAAGAGAGAGAGAGAGAATGTGGAAACAACGGTCTTATCCACTTTCCTGTAGCTCTTGACCCTTTGTTTCCTAATCAACTATGTAAAGATGAGCAAAATAAAATAATAAAATTAAAAGGCAAAAAAAAAAAAAAGGAATGTGATTCTTCCCAGTGGACTTACTGAACAAATCCACAAAATGGAGAAACTATGACTGTGTAACTGAATTTAGTTCTCTACTATTCTAGAAAATGGTATTCCTGTACTTGAAGTGATGGCCTGGAATCACATAGCTAGGGGAAGAAGTTACACTCCTCTGTACTCTTCATGGTCATGCCAGTCAGTTGTCGATGCTTGAACCTATGCACATGACAATCTAGACTTGTTGATGTGTGCTTTACTCTTGGCCTATACGCCTGACTAAGCGCATCTTTTTCCAAGACAAAGCAAAACATACCTTAAGTGTTCATGAACATTTTTTTGTGAACCTTACATAAATAGAGAAAAGCATACTATATTCCATTCTATACTCAATAATAGATGTCAGGAAAATAAAGGGATCCGATTTAGTCATTCTGTGGGATTTGGGGGAAGAAAGTCCAATATAAACTGCTAATTAAACATGAGTAGAAGTTTTTGTGATATAATAACGATGCAGTGCTGACATACTTAATATTTTATATCAAGTATTTTTAAATTCAGCTGGACATGAATTCCAAGGAACATGTTTAAATGCTTATGATACATCTTGTGCTTTTGACAGGAACTCTTCCTATCATATTACTCAGCTGTTCTGCTGTTAACCTAAATGATGTTATTTCACCAGATTTTACATGTGTTGCAGATCCTGCTGGGCAGGCATAAAACTGGACTCATTTAGGAAGAGGCAATGTGGTACAGGAGAAAAGCTGCCATATGTGAGACCGCACTCTATTGCCTGTCGAAAATTTTGTATTTCAGGTCTCCCACGGGCATGCCCATTGTGCTTTTGTGCAATTTTATCAGCAGGAATTTCTGCAGAATATTTCTCCACCTTTTCAAGATCCCTATTTTGGCACATCTAACTTCAAAACTCAGTGTTGCAACATCTGAGCTTGTACACCTGGGAGCCACAGAAGATGTGTCCTGAAGATTATCTAGATTTTCTTATCTTATAGAAAAGGTGATGTATGTTTCCAGGCTTGGAATTTTCTTCTTTAAAGAATCTTGCTTAAAAAGAGTCTTGCAATATTAGACACATAATAGATTTAGAGCTACAAAGAATGTCTCTACAAATGGTTTTATTTACATATAGTTCTTAATATATATGAACAGCTTTCTGCTAAGAGTTTGTTTTGTAGATGTACAACAGACCTGGAGCTATAGTTTAAAATTTGTTCAAACAAGACTATTTAATAAGCAAAGTAGAGGATAAAAAATGCACACACAATCCAGTACTTTGCATTTATTTACTGCTTTTCTTTTGTGGATCTATGAATAGAATTGTGGCATCCCTCTTGAAAAACAGAAATTGTGATTTTATCATCTACTGACTATTTTATTTTAACTAGAACGAAACACAAGGAGACTTCAGAGTTGAAGTTTTCCCACCCATCCCAGGGTCCCTGATGTGGAGCATGCCCTGAGGACGCAGCCCAAGTGGTTTTGATAGTTCAACAGTTCTGAATTCTGCCAATCTTGCTGTTCCAAGCACGATGAATGTTTCCAGAATCTATTGGCTGACCTAATCCACCTTAAGTTGGATTAAGAGTTGACATTCATTCCACTTTTCCATGAACTTTCTGAAGCTCCTCAGTATGCAGTGAAGTAGACTTCAGAACTTTATGAAAACTGTTGGCATGAGATGGTGTCCCCAGTCCAATGTGCAGAACCATTTGTTGTTACGTTTTTGGTGGAATGCATACTGGATATGCATGTGGATTCTCTTGACTTTGACATCCGTTTATAAAGTGAAGACACTCACTGAATCCTTAAGGAGTACTTTTTCATGTGACAGGTATTGCTACAATTGCATTACATGTGCAATTCACCAAAACTATATGTGTCAAACACTCCTGTGATCACCATCTTACAGATGAGAAATCTCAAACAGAGAGATTACACAGTTTGCCCAAGGGCACCCAACTTGGCTTGGTGGAGAAGAGCTACTACAGAGCCTCAGATGTGAGCAACCCTCTCTTCCTTCGGGTATTTCTCTTGTATGTAACAGGATAGCTTTTACTGTGAACTTTGACACAAGGATTACAGTGACAAAAGTGTGTGGCAAATTAACTGATTTCAACCTTTAACACCAGAAATATTTAAGGCAGGGTCAAACGAAGTACAATAGAACTATACAGGAAAGCATGGGTAAGTTAAACCCATTGGCATTGTAGCCTAAGTTTAATGAAGAAATTCAACCTTAGAGCTGCCACAGGTACGTAATAGAATTGGATCTCACTGCTTCTCTATACCGCACTCCATCACTTATCAAAGTCTAGTATACATATAAGGAAAGAAGGAGTGAGTATTTAGTTGCTAGGAATGGGTTCAATGCCAGGGAAATTACTAGAGGAAGAATGCCAATAAGTACTGAATGAAAAATTTTTTCCTTCATGGGTTAAGTTAAAAAAGCAAAATAGGAAGTTGTTTGATGTTTCTTTACCCATTTGCATATCTTAAGGCACAATATACAAAGGAAATAATTTCTGTTCAGAGGAAATATGCAAATCGATACAGCATTGATTGTTTTCCCATCTACCGAGTCTGAGTAAAGGTAGTATCAGTTCTTCATTGTCGGGCATGGAATATTCCAAGTGTACCACTTATTTGGTTTGCTGGAAACATGGCAATATGAGTTCGAACCAGGATTTGCCACTGAGCAAGAACTATCAGATGCAGAAAAGGAACAACAGTATTGTGGTAAAAAAGTAGTGGAAAGTCAAAATCATCAGTATAGGTTAGCGTTATGTTGTGTCAGTGTCTCCATTGAGAAGAATCCCTGATTTGGAAGCCATCCTTACGCTTGACCTGATTTTATAGTTGAGATGATGCCTGCATTTAATTTGGCAAGAAAATTGATCACTGTGTTCTATAAACAAGGCCTATCATGTCATTACCTGAAACTGTGCTGCAAATATTCATTTAAGAGCAGTCTGATTTATAATATGGTATAAGAGGTGAATTATTTCATGAACTATTTTAATGAGATGGCTTTATGTTAAAAAATTGGGTTGGTCAGTTTCTTCAAAAATGATACATTGCTTTGATAACATTTATTTTATAAAGATTTTTTTTTTCCAAAAAGAGTTCTCTGTTCACTTAAATGTGTAGGCTTCTTGACTCAAATAGTTTTTAATATTTACAAAGTGTTCATGCCTTTGTCTGCAAAATCATGACCAAATTCACTTATTTTAAAAATATTATTCAATATTTCTTTATCTTAATATTAGCAGACAAAGGCTACAATTCTGAAGTTTATATAATGTGCATATTTTATAGAAATTGCTTCTTTAATCAATATCATATAAAGGAAGATAGAATGAATTCAATTAAAAATATTATTGTAGTGGTCTTAAGGCTATTTAATATTTTCTATTTTTATCTTTTCATAATTTCAATTTCTTGCAAGACCTATCAATTACATTTTAAATTGAATAAACAGCTCCATACACTGTGAAATGAAATGTTACAGTATCTTTTTTTTTTATTTCTAGATTTTACTCTATTTTTAAAAGCAGTCAGCTGCATGTGGATGATTTGGACAGTTGAATCCTAAGCAGAAACCCAAAGCCTCTCTGCATCCTTGATAGTTTCAGAAGACTCCTACCTTTCTCATCTTCTTTTTCTTCCGGGTCAAGTGGGATCACTTCTGGCTCATCCACAATTGTGGGATCTTCTTGGTTTGATGAAGACTCTAAATAGAATGTTACAGAAGGAACTCAGTTGGAGTCATTAAAAAAACAGTGACCACAGGACAAATACTCAGTGCTTCTTTTTATCCCTCCAAGTTTCAGGAGGCACAAAAAACACAACACTGTCATCCTCCTGTAATCATTACACAGCACACAAGCACACACACAGAACACCTACGTAACTAAATACATGTATATTCAAAAGTCATGATTTATAGTTTTATAATCTTATTCTCTGATGCCAAAATATTTTCAGTACCTTCTGTTTCCATATATGATCCCTGGGACTCTGTCTCAATTTTTACTTCATTCTTCATTGAATCACTCTCTTGTCCTGTAAAGAATTGAGATAGAAAAAAATAAAAGAAATGTGATATGCTTGATCATAGCCTTATTACTGGATTTGAAGAAGCAAAACTTTCAGAGCATATGCCTTAATCATGCATGGAGAGACAGAAAATGGTCCTAAATCAAAGTGAATGGCATAGATGGGCCCTTTCAAATCTTCAAATTTGTTATCAACTGTGTTGTCAGAAATATTCAGAAAGAGAAACAATCTTTTATTTGAATTGTTAGATTAAAATGTATTCGGTGTGAGTGGACATGCCCTGAAATTTTTGAAAATGTAAAATAATTTTGGGAAAGTATGTGATAATTGCATTTCATTTCCTTTTTACTACAGATATTAACAAATCAGATAATAACTTCTGATATTAACAAATCAAAAAATTAAAGCACTCATATAGCATAAAAGCTTGGCTAACATGCATGTACAGGAATTGGTTGGCATTATAACTCGATCACTCTCTTAAGACACCTACCAAATATAGGTGAGAGACTTCGGCCAAGTCTTGATTACTCTGAGGCTGATTACCTAGAAATGGCTTTTCTGCTGCAACCCCTGGCTTCTCCCCGATTCCCGCCTGTGGAGTTTTGAACATTTAAGTGCTCATTAACAGAGGAAGTTTAAATCTGTCCATTTTACCTCATGCTAATGAAAGATTTTGTGTGGAGATATGTATCTGGTGCAAGACAAGAGCCAGGGTTGGTTACAGACACATAAGGAGACGCAGGTACTGGGCTCCTTGTCTGGATGCATGCGTGTGGCGGGTGGCATTGTTGTTTCAAATCGTTCCTACTTGTTCCTGTTGGAGGACTATGTTTTCCTTCTCTGTGACCCTGTGACATGCAGGGATCCCTGTGGAACAAGTGCAGCTTCTCTCCCTGATGATAGCAGGCCTTTTCTTGTGACCTGCTTTAGAAAAACACACTGAGACAGCCATTGTGTTCAATGCATTGCAGAACCTTTGAGATTCCATGCATGTTTACCTCAATGCCCTTTTTCCTAACAGAGAATGCTACTTCAATCTAGATCCAAGAATAAAAACATGTGGAGCAGACCCAGACAGAGCCAAGCAGAGACTCAACAAAACTGTTGTTGGAACTCAGTGAGTCTTCGGAGGTAATTTGCTTCTCTGGCAATGTTGACTTACACGTTCCCTCATCTTACACTTTTCCCTTTGATAGGGCTGTTCTTATATCACCCACTGTACTTCCACTGCTATGCTAGCATGATCCAGAGGGGGAAAAGTAAGTATTTCATAACACTCCTTCTGAGCTCAATTTTAATCAAAGGATCTGATAGAATAATTAAAACTGCAGCATATTTATCAATGCGATCGTGAAGGCACTGAAGGTGGAAGCCACAAGCTGTCTGTGATGAAGTTGTTTTTTTTTTCACTCCTACAACCACTGAAATAACACAAACTGTTTCTCTTCTCCCCCCTTTCATTCTCCCTCCACCTTTCCTCACTCTGGGTGTCTCCCTGATGCACCCCAAGGAGTAGCACTGTCTCTGGAGTCTTTCAATGTCTTCTGAAATAGAAAGCTCTTTCCCCATATGATGTACATGAAGACCTTTCCCTTGCTGGTAAGTCCTACTTATTCACAAACCACCCCGTTGCTACTCAAAGTCTGGCCCATAGATCGGTCACATTGCAATTATTTGAGGACTTTTACAAGTGTGGAATTTAAGGCTTCTTTCCAGACCTGCAGTATCCAGGCCTTATGTTTCAGCAAGACCTCTCACTGGTTTGCACATACGTAAAAGCTGGAGCAGCACTGGCCTAGAGAATGTATCTGCATATTATTGATCCCATAAAGAATGCCAGACTTTGCCTAGAAGCTTCATATATATTATTTCTAATCATCACATTAGCCTTATAAAATAAGCATTATGATCTCCACTCTGCTTTCAAAATTTACAGCTAGTTATGACTACAAATCCCTTTTTTTCCTTTCTGATTTGTTGAAAAGTAGCGTTACTTTGTCCTTTAATTTTTTGCATTGAAGTCTATCTTGCAAATAGTAAAATGTGTGACGCATCAAGTGCTGATGACTCGTTATAGGCACACCCCTTCCTACATGATCAGTAGCCAGATCAATACAATTGTGGCGCCAGAAGCTTCCTCCTGTCAGTATCCTCCACCATGTCTGAGTGTGACGTGCAGTATATTGGGGGACATTGTGAGTAATATGATGAAACCATTCTTGCACATGGTTTTCGGTAGACATAGGTACTCCTATCACCTAGATGTAATTTGGGACACATATGTTTAACTATATTAGGTTGTGCAAAGCAGAGTTCTAAAGAGTATGCTCCAAGTTTCATTTTGCACTTGTGGGAATGTGTAAAAACTCCATTCAGGCCCTTTATTCCTGAGTGTAGGTGGATTAAAACTTTTTTGACATGGAACAGAAAACAATGTAAAATCTTTACCCCTACACTGATTTGCACCCTTATCATTTCTGTGTACTTTATTCTAAAGAGCATTATCCTCCCAGTGATTCATTCTTCAATGTATTGAGAGTCCCTAAATCATAGCTATGTCAGGTGCTTCAGTAAGATACATGCAGAACCTGTTTTCAAAATGCAGAAAGCTGCAGGAACACAAGCATTAAATGTGGAGATGCTTCTCTCTAGTGAGATACGAAGAGAATTGGTCATAAGGAATGGGCACTGGTTCATGTCCCCACTGCTCCACTTCCCGTCCAGCTCCTTGCTTGTGGCCTGGAAAAGCAGTAGATGATGGTCCAAAGCCTTGGGACTCTGTAACCACATGGAGACCCAGAAGGAGTTCCTGGCTCCTGGCTTCAGTTTGGCTTGATTCCAGGCATTGTGGCCATTTTTGGAGCGCCACCGTTTGTAAGAACTTTCTATCACTCTTTCTCTCTGTAAATCTGTCTTTCCAATAAAAAAAAAAATCCTAATTAGAAAAAATGGCTTTTTTTGGTCTTGATTAAATCATTCACCATTCCTATGGTCCCTTTAATACCAATCTAGTCATCATTTTGTAAGCACATAATGTTACTTTCAGTCTTTATATTCACTGAGCATATATTCTTAGTAACTGAAATACCTTATTGTTCTTACATACATAGTACTATTCTCATTTTTCAAAGGAAAACCATCAGTTGCACTTTATTGGACAGCCTTCGCTGAGTTGAATTTCTTTGCTCATTTATCAGCTTATTATCTTTCTTATCATAGTTTCTCCTATTAGTTCATATGCATTATAAAGGGAGAAATGCTATTTATTCATATTTCTCTTCCCAGTATTTACAAATATGACCTTGTTAATAGATGTCTACTTAGAGACCATATGTTATAGTACCCACCAAGATCTGTCAAAACTCATGAGAGAGTTTTAACGTACTTTCTCTTGCATCCTTTAATAATGAGATTGTTACATTATGCTGCTAAGGCCTCTAGGTACTATGCTTACTGCAAAGCACCCTGGGACGAAAATAAATAGATGCTTGAGGCAAATCACACTTCCTTGGCTTTGGTTTTAATACTCATGGAAATAGTTTTACGGAGATGGACAGTTAAGCAAAAGGTCATGTCGGCGTTGACAAGAGGGGCACAGCCTCTCCAGCCTGCACCCCAGGGACACTCAGCTCATGGACTCATCAGGCTTTTCTGATGTCGGCTAAGGATAGAACGTATAGGTGCAGAAGGCACTGGTCGGGATTCCTCTGCGTCCCAGTGCTCCACCAGACATATTCTCAGAAGTATTTACTCGGGAATTGGAAGATCACGTTCCAGCAGGGCTTGGCGCACTGAGGATCAAATGGTGCTGCTTGAAGCTACAACTGAAGCTGCTGGTGTCAGGCATGTTTTTAAGGCCTCATATTTTGCCTTAGGGATGAAAGACTATTCTGAAATTCTTGTGTTACTCTTTCTTGCCTTATTTACTTGTTTCTGTTCCCTCCGCTCAATGTTTCCTTGAATTAGAAAGTCACATTCAAATTTCTTCCCATTTACTTGTAATAAAATTAGTAAAAAAAAGTGGGAACAAATGGAAGTGTCCAGGTTTGGGATTCAAAATTGTTGCATTCACTCACATCTGAGCCCAGCCGGGATTTGACCTATGCCACAAAGCCAAGGTACACAAGAGCTCCTTGCTCTGCATCTAGCCTGTCTTGTCCTAAGGATGCCTCTGGCTCCCCCACCATCTGTGTCCCAGCTCAGAGCAATCAGACTTTGCACACTCCATCCTGCTTCCTGGGCCCCATGGGGCAAGCTTTATGCTTGCCTCTCCACATGGGGTCTGGTAGAATTCCCCCCAGGATCCATTGCCCTAATCCCACTGGGCAGTGGAAACAAAAGAACACAAAGGTTTCCACAGTTCAAATGTATATATATTCTCCTGCAGTGAACGCAATCATCCTTACTAATGGGAGGGGACCATTAGTGGGGATAATCCAAATCCATTCCCTTTTCTTTAGGAACAGATCACGTGATTGCTTTTAAGATCCCCAATAATTAAGTTTGGCTCAAGTCAACACTTTAGCTTTAGCTAATTTGCATAAAAATTGGTCTGGGGACATCAGTCTGGAATTAGCAGGCATTTCTGGGGGATAAACCTAAACTCATTTTGCAAATGGACTACTTTTGAACAGCAACAGCCCCATAGTTTTATTACTTCCAGGTTATTAAATGCTCACATTTTCATAAGAACCAAGACTTTCTTACCTTGGTACTTATCTAAAAGAGATAATATAAATTGTGTGGGTTTTTTTTTCCCCTAAACTTGAGCATTGATTGCTGGTAATTTTCAAAATCAAGTTTTACCACATACTCAAATATTTCAAATTAGGAGAAAATGTTAAATATAAATTACTGTGAATTAGATTATCTTCTAGATACAACTGGTTTGATGTTAAGACCACTAGAACTTACTTTCTTACTATAAACTATTTTTTCTTATATTGTACAGATAAAAGAGAAGCAGTTTTCTTATGCAAAGACTTACAACTTAGAAAAGCCTT